TAAAAATTATAATTGATCAAATTTTTTGTTTTAAGATAGACGGAATGGTATTTTTGTTTTTAAGTTTTTAACAGGATGTATCTAAGCAGGTGGAGGAGAATGTTGAAATGTATTCAAACTGAACGCTGGGTTCGTTTCAAAACGTGCTCTTTAACCCAATACCAAAAGTGCTACGCAATGACGCTACGCAGACGCCAATCGCATACCGCTCAAGTGAGCAGGGTTGGAAAGACGCAAAACAGTTCAGACTGTCAGATTTCTGATCTGGACCAAAAGATGGTAAATTCCATTGCATACAATAAGCACTTTAGCCGCATTACTTTGCAGTTCATTTGAGAATTCCTATATACGAATATATGTCAGAACAACAATCAGCCAACGCCCAAAGTTATGCAAGGATTTACCCTCCTCGCGTAAACAAGAAATGTTCTTTTTGAACTGCAACTTAAATGTAGACAATATTTTACTCTGTTTACTAAAGCGTGCATTAAAAAATCTTGCCTACATTTAGGCATGTTTTAAAATAAGCATATCGGAGTACGGAGGTACGTTCCAGCAGGGTGTGGCTATGCAAAATTTTGTGAAAAGGGTTAATATGCTTCCGCAAAGAGTACATGCTCCTTTGGATTTCTTGGTTGGATACGTATATACAGATACTTACAATTCCTTCATAGGCAAAAGTTGTATCTAAGAAGAAGACATTGCTCCCAAAAATAAAGCCATTGACATTTAATAGTCTACTTTGACATTGCTGATGAAGTAATGGGGTATGTAAGATGATAATCTCAAGTAAAAAAAGTGTTTAAGTCACTGAATGCTCTTAGTGAACTCGGAAAAGAAGCAAATTACGAAAGAAAATCGAATTCCCAATAAAAATTTAAAGTCTCTGCAAGACTAATCGAAACTTTTCTACAACAGGTAAGCAATGTTTTTGGCTCTCCATAAACTGAGCTTGAGGCTCTCAGAAAGCCTCTACACAATTTCTAAAGTTCCGCAGACGCAAATTTTATGTCTTATCCTTTTCTATAGACTTTTTTCTGCACTCACCTGATAAATCGGAAATATCCAAACAACTCGAACGGCTTTTCGTACGCTGCAACAGTGGATGTTGTAATGGCTGTTGTTGCTGTTGTTGTAGAGATAGCTGCTTTATAGGCGATTGATTGACAGCGCTGCCATTCGCGGTGATGCCACTAAAAATGCTACTGCACAAACCCTCACCGGCTACTCCGCCACTACCACTACCGCCACTGCCTGAGCCCGAGCCACTACTACACCAATCAGCCTCCATAGCTTTAGAGGCGCTACGCTTGAAGTGTTCCAGGAAATTATCAATTTGCTTTTCAATTGAGTTCGATGGGGAATTCTCCATAATTATCCTTGTACATTATCGATAAGGGTGCAGAGGAATTTGAAGCCACTTGAGGGATTTTAATTATTTATTTAAATTTTCTTTTTAATTTTTTTAATTTTTTATTTAATTTTTTTTTCATATAAATGGTGGCACATGACGGCGGTTAGAGCTGAGCGTGATGTGTAACTATGTCACAATTTTTGCTTCTTCTTCTTCTTCTTCTTCTTTTTCTAATTCTGTTTTTGCTGCAGTTGAAGGTCAATTAACTTCCACTGCGTGAACTTTCCATTTGCGAACGACGCACAAATAGAAGACCGCCCTCCTGGTGCTAAGGGCACCACTACTGAGTTGAGGAGCGGAAGAGAGGGTGTGTAGGTCGGCAGTAAGACTAAATGGATTTCGCTTTGACTAGGCGGAGCAGTGGTAGCTCGCTGTTGTTGCTACTTTCGCAAACTTGGTCACTTCCTGAAAGACCTTGAGTTGTTGTTATTTACAAAAGCAATTTGTATTTTTCACTTTGGGAAAACTGAGAAATATCAATTTTCATCACTTTGAATGAATAAACTTTATTTCTTTTTTCATTGAATTTATCTTCAGTTGGCGATTTGCACATAATTTTTGCACACAGATTTTTTTACATTGATTTACACTTTTGTAAATACTTTAAATTTGATTACTTTAACCCTTCACTGCCTCAAATTTGCATTGAAAACACTCTCATTTAGCATCTTTCCTATATTTTGCACATTTTTTCATTTAAATTTTCTGCAAATCGAGGCAAACAAATTTAATTGCGTTCCTTTGATTCGTGTGAACTTAACCCTCGTTTTCGTACATATATTATTTGTATACACAAGCGCGCACACACACACACACACACAAGCACATCAACTAGGCCTTGTGTTGTATCCTTTATCCACTTTTAGGCGCGAGCACTCGTTTCGATACTTTCCATGCGAGAATTCTCATTTTCAACTGCCTATTTCCCAAGGCTCAACCGCTTGTGAGCAACGCTAGTGATGAACTGAAGCGATTGAGCGGCGAAAATGTGACACTGAGCGGCGAAGTAACGTGGCATGCAACGGCGCACTGCACACGCAAAATAACCGCTGCCGCTGCCGCTTCAACTTTTTGCACACCCACAACATCTTCTCGGTGTTTTAATACACCACTTGCTAGCTTTGTTGTTGTGCTGTAAAATTATGCCGCGCTGCTGTGCAAAAATCGAACCGGCGTTAGAATGCCAAAGCTACACGTGACAGCTACGCTGCTAGTGTTGGCCGACACAACGACTGCGACTGCGACGGCAACAGCTCAAGCGAATTACATTTCTTCTTTGGTTTGCGGTTTGTTGTCGGTATTGTTGCTCTTGTTGCAATTTCATCAATTTCTCTTCTCCGCTTTGTTGTTGCCGCCGGTATGTTGTGGGTGGTTGCGTTAAGGTCATGCGCAGTGTTTGTGGTTATGAAGCGAATATAATCAGCTGTGCGGCGAATTTAGCTAAAACAAAATTGTAATAGAGTTTACCCAGGCTGAAGAGGTTCTTTGATAGGTGCTTTTACGGTACTTATTGGAGCTCACGTATAGTAAATTCCTAACGTACGCGATAACAAGAGCATCGGAAGATCTTTATATGCTTGGAGAGTTCCAGTTCTTGGTCTGTGGCCGTAAGATCTTCGAATTCGAGAGTGGTGGTCTCAATTATATTCGGTTCTGGAGTTTTTAATCTGAAAAAAAAATATTACCAAAGAATACTGCCAGTAAAGGCATCCCTCGACAAATGAAGAGCAAATTCTACAGCTCCCTCATCAGTATCGCCCCACATTATGGGGGAGAGATTCCAACGTTGGGGGTATCTGATGGGTTGACTTTGGCAGCCTTCGGGGAAAAGATTTTGGGGAATATACTAGGGCAAGCTGTCCGGATCGGCGAATATACTTTTCTCTATAAGTGTTCGTTGCAGAACTCACTGGTGGAAGCAGAAGAGGAGGAAGATCTCCATTCTGTTGAAAAATTAGGTGGGGATGGATCTGGTTTCATTGGTGCAAACGCGACTGGCGCGAATTGAGAAGAAGAAGAAGAAGAGGTAAAAGAAGAGATGTCCGCGTCGTTCAATAAAAATTTACTTTCTATCCTGAAGGGTATTAAAATTCTTAGGAGATTTTAAAGTTGTTTCTTATCTTTCCAACGTCAAAAAGGACAATATTGTTTTACCAAAAAAAAAACCCACGGGCCAGGTCTGAGACCAGTTCAGACCCAATTGTGAAGAAGAACATGGTTTTATGTCTCTTATAACATACACCCACTATTAAGGGAGATGTATTTTCCGAGTGACATATAAATCAAATGAAGCCATAAAATGTATGGAGAGGAAGTATCTAAACTTTTCGGCGTTGCATGGGTTTCTCATGGCGTAAATGTTGTCTCTGTGAATAATATTTAATTTCTCCATACTTTTTATAGAGCTTTCAACTCTGCCACGTGCAAATTTCTTCGTTGGTATATGTGTTTTTTATTTTCAATATTCATAATCGCCTAAATGTAGCCTACAGCACAGCTGACGTCTTACTTACATCAGACCCTTACAGCCTATAAGAAAAATCGAAGAATATTTGTGGCATAGTTTTAGGCGCACGCAATAGTAATATGATGTATAGTGTGCTAGTCTATGAATGATGAATCTATGAATATGAAGTTATTTTAAACAATGTTAAATATTTCCATATTTTATATATATGATTGGAGCTTTGTAACCTCTAATTTGTGGTTTTGCCAAACAGGGCAACAGTTTTTATTAAGTCGCCTCCGAACGGCTGATGTATTTTTTATTTCATGAGGAGTTTTATTTCATTCAGAAATAAACTTGGAGTGTTTATATTTCCTGTCGAGGGGCGGCCGCAATTAGAATCTTTAACTTAATTTTTTATTTAAATTAATTTTCTTTAACTTTTTTGGATGTTAGTGCGACAGACACCAGGATTTGAACCTGAGCCTTCCGAATGGCAGTACGCAATGCTAACCGCTGCCATATTCACTTGGAAACAATCTTTTTTCTCAAAAATTAAGAGAGCAGTTTACCAATTGTTTGTATACGCTCTTTCCTTGACTCTCTTAGTGGCAACAGCCGTTGTAAATGTTTAACTAAGAGCTCTTTGAGTTGTATTTTTATACTTCTAGCTCTTGGACTCGCATGTTTTCAATTGAGCGCCGCTATTGTCATTATTATGATTATCTGCTGATCAACAGCAACTCGTGGGCTTTGAGTTGAGATACTTAATACATACATATGTCAAAATAGACCCCCACCGGCGCTAGCGCCTACTCAGCTACTACAAATGCCTGCAATAAGCAATAAAAGCAGCAGAAACAGCAGCTACAGAAAATGAAAGAAACTCGAAATCAACAACAAATAACCAAATAAGCACTAACAAACAACACAAAAGTGTATACTTTTAGAATTCGAGTCACTTTCCGCTACCAAAGCTATGATGATGAAGAAGAAGACATATCATGCTCACAACGCACAAAGGTGCACCAATACATGCACACGTGTATACAAAAGGAAATGGAAATAAAAATATAACAACAAAAGAGCTTCTACGCCGCTGTAAAAGTCAGGTCGAGTGGTGTAGACTGTTTGCTTAGCTAGCTCGCGGGCCGGGTCGTACATACACTTTGCTGTAGGCAAACGACGAAACACAAAATCAGTTTCTCGCCGCTCGTGTACGGAACAACAACGTTTTGTGAAGAAAGTTAAAGCAGTAAAAGCGCAAAAAAGCGAAACACTGAAAAGAGACTGAGTAGAACGGGTCATAAAGACAGGCAGACACTGTAGTCAGTCAGTCAGTTGGGCAAACGCAAGCCACCCCGAAGCATACACGCAGAAGAGTGATTTTGTAGAAAAGTGCTGAATAGAAAAGTGCAAGCAAGCAAAAAGAGATTTGTTGAAAAAGAAAAATAAGCAAAAAATTAATAAATTATAAAATTTATTTAATTTTATTATATTCTTTAAGAACAACAACAAATTAAACAAAATGAGCAGTAAGTTCGAGCGCTTAACAAGAGTAAAACTCTTTACCGAAAATTACAATTAAATTAATAAAAAAATAATAAAAACTTAGAAACAGTTCAAATTAATAAAAAAAATTTAAAATTTTCTATAAAATTATTAAATAAATGCACGCACGTTTCAAGCTTTAAATTTTTTTTTTTTTTTGTAAATTTATAATTGCAATAAAGTAACTGCAAGCAGAAGAACAAATAGCGAGCGAAATTAGCAAGCAGAGGAAATTGAAAAAATTAAAAAAAAAAAATTAAAAAAAAAACAAAAAAAAAATTGGTACAAGAACAAAAATTATGCTCTGGAAAAATTAACAGTTAAATAAATAACAATAAGAGAAAACATTTTGCGAACTAGAAATTGCAAGTTAGCACTAATGAAATTTTGAGTAAAAATTAAATATGCAAAAATAAGTGTTAGAATAATAATAACTGGGTCGTCAGCTGTGAGTTCGACGGCAGCAAAATGCACACTTCCATATATATATAGTTATATACATATATATTATATAGTAAGTGAAGCATGTGCGCACACCTGCTTGCCTAACAAATTCCGAATTGAAGCTGGACCGTAGCTAAGCTAAAGCGCGCCTTATCAGCCAGTTATCGGTGCAGTGCCTCCTCAATATATTTTTTTTTTTTTCACTTTACTTTGCGTATCAATTATATCATCGTAATGTTTGCCATTTGCTATTTGTTTAACTTTCCACACCCGTAACAAGTTTCGACGTCAATACGTTTTCCAAAAAAAAAAAAAAAAAAAAAAAAAAAAAAAAAAAANAGAGAGAGAGAGAGAGAGAGAGACGTACAAGTGAACCCCCCCCCCCCCCCCCTCACTCATGCCACCAAACACTCGAACAACATTGCGGCTTGGCTTTGAGGCAAATCAGCTGCTTGATTAAGCGTTAAAACCGCCAAAACCGTAGGCAAATTAATTTATGAACATTGATTTTTCAGCTCATTTTCCCCCAATCCACTAAACCACAAACTCCCTTGACTGCCTCGAAAACAGTTGATAACAGCAGGATGCTTACTAAAATTATTGTGGTTGTTCAAAGAATGCAACGCATTTTTACTGATATTCATTTTTACAGCAGTTTATTGGTAGTAGCGCGTCGACCTTTAGTGACCTTCAGCGAATTTTTGCCGCCTGCATGGCGCAGCGCAATATACAATTTCCTGTCTCTTTGCTGCGCTCTCCATTTCTCTTTTTTTTGCCCACACTACACACTAATGACTGCGCCAGTGAGCAACTATTTACCATTATTTTATTTTTTTAATTTTATATAGACATATGTATGTATATATATTTACATACATACATATATATTTTCATTTTATTATTATTATTTTGCGAGCGTGTAAACGCGGTTGTTGGCTGTCTTCTGCTGCTATTTTTCGCTATTTTTGCGAAAAAGAAGCATTTCTATTGTACAATTAGACGTCATTGACATGATTTATATTTATGTTTTTGCACATTCTGCGCTTATACAAACACACACACACATACATGTACTAAAGAAAGCCACTGTGTGCGCAAATCGATGTAGTGTAACTATTTTTAATTCTACAAATTTCAATTATTTTTGGCATCAATTTTTGGAAATTTTCTGCAAACACCCTCGAAAATTAATGTTTGCAGTGCGCGTCTGTATGATTTTTAACAGTGAATTTACTCAGCCGCGTTGAGGTCAAATGTCAAAAGTGACATTTGCTATAGTTTGCAGTATAGCGCGCTCGGCTCTCTCACGGCTGTTGCGTTGATTTCATGCAATCATTTGTATGCTTCATATCTCTCTCTCTCTCTCTCTCATTGTGCCTGTCTGTCAGTCCATGCATTCAAGCGGTGCCTCCAAGCGTTTGCATATCACGTTTCATATTTGGTTATGCGCTCTGGCGTCATTTCATTCATGTGTTTGTTGGTGCGTCGCATTGTATGACTTTCAAATAAGCAGGCATTCCGGCAGTATCTATCTGTATTTATAATCAAGTGCCGGCATAAGCTGTATAAATGTGAAGGTTTTTCGTTTATTATCATTTCGTTTCGTTGATAAGCGTATACGCATTGGGCTGCAGCGCTACATGTCGCTTTGATGGGCATTGTGGGGTTGGAGATACATACATATGTGTGCTAAACGCTTTGGCGTAGGCAAGACCAAGTAGTAGCAATAATTTGAAAATATTTTTCAAGTTTTTCTCAATAAAGATCAATAGAGCCAGAAAAGCTATAAACGCAGTGAAATAACGTTTACACTTGGAAATGGTTTTGTAAAAAGCTAGTGTGAACTGTCTGCTGCCGGTTCGATCGCCTGACAAGCTGGCAAATCTTCAGATTTCTTTAAAGCTATTAATGAAGGATGATCCGATTTCCAAAATCTTACAGAAGTGTTAGGTTTACCGCGCTCTTACGGTTACTTGAAGAAATTCAAATTCTTCACTTTGGTTTTCCAGGTGAGAACTTTCACAAAATCGGCAGTGGGATATGATTTTTTTTTTAAATATGTTGATCGCTATGGGGGGAGAGCATTATAAAATGCTACATTTAATCGGGCGATTGAAAGTTGATTCTCACTGTGATCAGAACTCTTCCATCGCCGTTCGAAGGCATGGAGAAAAATGTTCACATAATTTTCTGGATATTATCTCCGATCCAGCTACACCTCGAAGCTGGTTACAGCAACGACCCATAATCGTTTACTTTTCTATGAATTTATTACCTCGAAAAAAGTGAAAAAGACGGACATTATGTACTTTCTGTATTAAGAAGATATTTCTTAAGTATGAAAGGTGCTGTATGTAATCGGAATAAAAATGTTCGATAAAATGCTATGTGAAGAGGATAAAAACAAATGTAGTGGAAATAACATGTTTTCCAATTTCTTAAACCACTCTCCTGCTTTAACAAGAAGAAGTTTTCGAAATTTCAGATATTTCATAGAAGTTTTTGAAGTTGTTTTTTTGAGAAGGGTGGCATATTACTTTTAACTACGTACATACATTATTAATTAGATTTTTAGGGGTTATGAGGTAATGAATGGGAAATTTTTTTTCCTTCCATGGAACGCATAGTAGTAGATTTCAAAATTTCGTAGCCAACTTTTCGTATGGTCAATTTGTAAAACTTAAAGGCGGTTATAAGTGGATGGAGCATCGTTTCTAATATCTTCTTTTATATTTCAACTCATAGAATACATAAAATAAGCGACAAAAAAAAATCTTGTGGAGCATCTAAACTTCTGTTAAATGTTAAACTTGATGAAGATGGAAGACCAAATTTTTTTTCATATTTAAAATTGTATTAATTTTTTCTTTCTTTTTTTGTTTTCTCATTTTTTTTTTTATTAATTATTTTTTAATTTTTTTCCTTAATTATTTTTTCATTTTTTTTCATTATTTTCCATTTTTTTCTTTAATAAAAATATAAGAAAATATTTTTTTTTTTCACAAGAAAATATTTTTTTATTATTTTTCGAAATCTTTGGTCATGTATGTGCGAAAGTTTTCGAAAAAATTGTAGAAATCATATATTTAAAAATAAATTTCGAAATCATCAAAAAACCAAACACAAAAATATATGTGTATATATAATAGATAAATTGTACAAAAAAAAAATATATATATATATTTTTTCTTACATATATATGACACAAAGACACAAAATATCACCCGCTATTTAGCACCAATTCAAATGTGCTCAGCATTTTCCAATGAAAAGCCACCTAATTTCACAATTTGGAAAATCCACGCTGATTTTCGACAGCGCTGCTCCGCCACGCTCGCATTTTGTGGTATTAAAGAGATTTGTGTTTCTTAAAAAATTTCCGTTATATTTAGCACAGGGCAAATATGTATGTATGTATTTATGTATGTGATGGCTTTCATATTCAAATAACACATGTTTACATGCACGTATGTGCATAAAAAATGTTTATTAAACACTCACTATATATATAAATAAATATATATACATATATATGAACATGAGAAATTCATGTATTTTCGGCTTATTACTCATTATTTAAATGAAAATAACAATGGTGGAAATTTTTTTCTTTCACCTAATAATCGCGAAGTAAAAATACAAAATATACCTCAAAAATATGCCGATTTAATTGGAAAAAAAATTGAAATTTAGCTTACAAAAAAAAAAAAAAGATTTTTAAAACATACATAACTCATAGAAATAAAAATACCAAAATTAAAAATACCTGAAAAAAGTAAAAAAAAAATCTTCGAATTTCACTAAATGCATTTGACGCTTGTTAAATTCTTGAGAAAAGCCATATTTTTGCAGCAATATTATTCTTGGCCACAGCACAGATGATTTAAGAATTATTACCGTAATTTTTTTTTTTTGTTTTTGGTTTTTCGAAATTTCTTTTTATTTTTTTTATTTTTAAATTTCATGTGGAATACGCCCACTGTCAGCGATCTTTAATGCCGCAAGCAAGCGCTGTTGGATTTATATATGTACATATTATATATATATGCCATGTGTGAATGCATGTATGTACATATATCTGTAAAAACTTTGTATGTGCATATATATGTATTTATGTATCTAAATTTTTATGTGCATTTAATGACATCGTTTTCGCAGAAATTACGGTTAAAAGATATGTATTTAAAAAAAAATCAATTTTTTTTTTTTTAATTTCTACTTTTACTGTTTTTCCCGGGTGGTTATGAGAGTCCATATCTTTTGAAATGGAATTCTTCACCAATTTTTCTTTAATTTTATTAGCGAGCTCAGTAAGAAGCTAGTTTATTACTGTTAAAGATCATTAGCGCCCTAAAGTTGACTCCTAAAATCTGAAATCAGGCTTTTACTTCTCATCAGTGATCTCGATTAGCTCGCTTCCCGTAATATGCTTCTTTATAACCTATCCTAACCCTTTAGCGCTCATTAAATATGAGGATGTTTGTTATTGAACTCATTACTTCTGAGCTACGAAAAAGGCTCAATGTTTTCTCTGGCGCCT